AGTTTGGCACTCCTGATTTGTAAGTTTTACTACCAGCTGTACTTTGCATAGGTATGTGGCAATCCCAATTTTGAATAGAGAAGGAAGATACTCTATTTTCAAGAATATCTGTGGTTCCAGTGTTTTATGTGAAATTACAGGAAGTGAAAAGTAGTATATTATTTAGCCCCCCTGGTTAAAAACCTTACTAAAGCTACTGAATCTTCATTTTTCTGAGCTCTTTTTTTGGTGCAGTTGACTGTCTTACATGACATTGAAGCTAAAGCACCCCATCTGTTTACCACATTAACCAGCATTACTCAATTCTTAAGCTATCACCTTACATTTGGCATGTAACAGGTTAGATTTAAAATATTTTTTGAGGCAAGAAAAATGGCAAAAAGCAAGTTGCAGTAGCTTTCTTAATGCAGTAACTGGAAGTTAATGTTTTATGTTGTCATTTTATACTGTCTTTTTCTGGTTTTCATTGGGTTTGGGGGTGGTTTGGGGTGTTTTTTTGTCCTGAGATCTATTTATAACTGATTGAAGCACTTTTGCAGGTGGTGTTTTTTTGCATGCTAATCCTGCAGTGAAACATTGTGTCCAACAAAGTATGCTGGGTCAGCAAAAAAAACAAGAAACTTGTGCTGGAAAGACAGTATCCACAGGTATTTAGTGTGTATGGAGATTTGGCAAAATGAATAATTAACTATCATTGACAGAAAAAAATCTGGTAGAAAGTTGTGCATTTTCTTCTTTCCCATAGAAAAGATATTCTTCTTTTCACATTCAGCAAAAGACAACAAACACCCATGGAATAAAATATTTCATTATTCTTTTTCATATGTGTTCTGCATTTCCCTTCAAAACAAGATAATCCTTTTTTGTGTTTGTGTTATTTTCTGTCACTTCTCCAGTCATAACAATTTAAATACATTCTTATGCAAGTGAAGTGGTCCTAAAAGGATTATTAAAAAAAAATTAACATTATTACGCAATAGTTTCTGGTGTATTAGTGGTTTATTCTAATATTCAAAATAGACCAGATTAGTGGGGAAAATTAAATTTCTTCTCAAGTTTTCTACAGTGTCTGAGTTCAGCAATGTTACATGCATTACATAGAGAACAAACTGAAGGAGGTACAAAGAGAAGGCAGGACAGATTGGAGTAGACTAGACGTGAATAACTTGGGAAGGAAGGGGAACCATGAATGAAGAGGAGCCCTGTGGAAGACTTTGTTTCCCCCAGAGGATTCTTCCCAGCATGACTATTGTCAAAGACTTTGATGCACTGTTGTTTATTTTTTTTTAATTTGTGTATCACTATCCAGTCCTATACAATTTTAAGGTTATTTAGAATGGGTGAGACAAGAGCTTATGACATCCTGCAAGTTTCTCAGTGGTTTGATATTGCAGGTGCTAGCATGGTAACCCTTAATGTTTTAACAGTGACTTTTAAAGTATATGAATTGAACTGCATTTGATTTAACATTGTGCTTAATGAAAGTGTCTACCTGTTGCCCCAGTTCTATGCCTATTTGAAAGACTTAGAACATGAAAGTTAAAAATGGGCATCACACCATTTAGGTATTAAATCTAAGGTTTTGTTAATTTCATTATTCTTAATAAAAATTTTAGAGGAAGTGTAAAAATTTTTGGCTTCTAGTGAAGAACCTGTAGACTGATGTGTAGAAAGAAAGTTGTCTAAAACAAAGGGCCATCCTCAAAAATGCCATTGCAGAACCTACCTTAACTGAAAATTCCCTTTCTTAGATGGAAGACTTCATTCCAAAAGCATTGAAGGCTTTTCCTCAGGTCACAACTGACAAGTCAGAATGAGTCTTTTGAATCAGAAATAGTTTGGCAGAAAGTGTGGAATAGAAGTGGAATGTCCCTAGAAGTGCATATTAAGTTTCCAAATGGTCTTATTGTAGCCAGGGAGCCAGAACGTAGTCGAGTCATTCAGTGCCAGGGTGGTGAACAGAAATTACTGGAACGATCTCTGTGTGCAAAGGAAATTGTTGGAGCTTTTTGCCAAGTATAAATGGAAAAAATAGTTTGGGTCACTGATGATACTTGCACGTTCTGGGTAGGGTCAGCAGGACCTCCAGTCTGTGAATTGACTGACTGCTTTTTCTTCATGCAAGATGCTACATAATCTTCCACCAGTTCTTCCAATTAGCTTTTCCAGTCCATAAGCAAAATTTTAACTGAGTGTGGAGGATCATCAGACAGCTAGTCTGCATCTAGCCCGTCTCTATATTTAGACACTGGCTAAGCTGCTTAACTACAGCAGCTGTGTTGGATGAGAGGGAAATGAGTATCTGTTGCTTACCAGAAGCACTGCAATGAATATTTCTGCACTAGATTCTAATATAAAATTGGGGTGGGGCAAGGAAAAAAAAAAGCTTCACTGAAGGCTGATTCCAAACATAGCTTGCCTGGAAGATGTATTTATGATAAAATTGCGCTTGCTGGAATAAGAGCGTTTGTGTAAAAATCCCTTCTCAAGCAGTTCTGTCAATGCTTAGTATTGTGTTAACTGCATAAGAAGAATATTGGTCTAAATGGACCTTGTTTCAAAGAGCATTTTGTGGTTGATATTTATGAAGGTCTTGGCTTCTAGAAGGATACTTTCTTGTGGAATGCTGAGAAAATATGTGGAGATTCTTTCGTTAAAGAGAAGTGATTTTATTGCCTAATTTTGCAGTAGGCAAGTCAGCATATTTGGGACGCATATGCTTACTTTTAAAGGTAGTGTCAAGTGTAATTTCTACAAATACTGCCTTCTACGCTCAAATTAACCTTTCTTTTGTGGTGCTTTAGCTGCCATTTCTACATTTTTGTAAGGGTAGTGTGTCTGGAGCAAAACTTCGGTCTTTTCCTGAACTCAAATAATTTGTTGCCATTAGTAGAGAGCAGGCGCCTTATAACTTGAAGTGTAAAGTAGCACAGGTAGCAGTCTGCTGAAGTGCTGGTTTTCCTAAAAAGTTTATGCAAATTAAAAGCAGCAGCAAGAGGATATCCGGCAGGAAACAAAAAATAATCTGAGTATTACTAGCAATTTTTGTAGTTGAAAACAAAGGTTTCTATGTATTTGGTGCTTGTAGATTGTCAAAAATTAAGTTCTTAAGTGAGAAATAGTATATGCTTTTTGCTTTTGGAGAGTAAAAAGGACTGTAGGGAAACAGAACTTTAAATTTAGGATGTTTCTGCTTTTTCCAGGCTGCACAAACTCTGTAGGTCTGGACTTACCCCAGGGATCTCTCTGTTTGTGCAGGATTTCCGTATATAGTAGTCCAGTCTACACAAAATTTCCTTATCTAGTAGTCCAGTCCACACAGAGTATCTAGAAATTCTGGACATCTCTACAGACATTGAGCAGAAAGAAAGTTATGGTTGTGCCCAGTAGTTTCACTTAATTGGAGGATCAAGAAGATGCATAATAGACTTCATGTTTGATGCTACAGATGGCAATAAATGGATCAAAGGTTTATTCCCTACATAGTTATTACTCTCTAACCTTGTGTAGGTCAGAGGGTTTTGAGAAGCATCAGACTAACTATGTATGAACCAAACAATTTATGTGTGATTGCTCAGTGAAACTGGCATGTCCTGAAGGCAGTGGATTTACTGCACATGTGCATACCATGAGTATGTGCATATATCAGTCCAGAAGTTTTGGTCATGAAATTTGATGGTTCTGTAACTTACAGTGTACTTTGCTAAGTGTGTCACGTGTGAGAAGAACATCCAGGATTAAGATAAACATACTGGAGTTTCCAGCATTGGTAATAAATCACACTTACCTCTATAAGTCCATAACCATGTATGGCATTTGTAATACCAGGCTTTAAAATAGTAAGGAATGGAAAAATCCCTATGGAATTATCTTACTGCAATATTTGAAGGTCCCAGCATTTACTATTACATGTTCTATTCAAACGTGATTCCTCTCTAGATGAATTTTTCTTACATTGTTGCCTTCCCAAATTGCCTTCCTGCTTAGGATCTTTGTAGTTGAATTTTCTGTGGTTGAGATTGCTGGGAATCTTTTTTTTTTTTTTTTTTTCCTCCCCACAGGAAACCTATCCCATTTTTTTAAGTACTGGAAGCACCAGTAGTTGAATGGGGCTGTTATATGAAATGGTAGTGGTACAATGAGCTATACAGCAAATCCTATTGTATGGAGTGCCTGAAAAGGTCAGCATACATCTCTGCTGCTCAGTGCAGATTATCTTCCACATTTTACCGTTTTCCTTATATTTATTTAATTATCCACACATTCTTCTTTACTAAAAATGTTTGCAACACTAACCAATACAAGCAGAAATAAGAAGGAACCGTGATAAAACCTTGATAAATTGCATCTTTCAAGAAAATATTTGAATAACTTAACTACAGTAGTCCTGTGTATTAAAGGCACATAGGCAATGTGTGTGATTGAGTATTTAACAGTGGTGCGTCTTCTCTCATTACACTATTTGCAAGTTTTATATCAGTAATTTTTTTTAACACTTCTATCAGGTAAGCTTTGGTCTGTTGCTGATAAAACCCACAAATTCTAAATTCTGCAGAAACTCTAAAAGATCGCATTGACTTTGGTTGAGAGATACAATCAGAACGGGTGTTCAGAAAAGTTCTGCATCATAGGATTTCAATCCTGTCCTTCCAGCTGAGTATTTCCAACATGCTAGTCAGCTTTTCCAGGGCAGAAGAGGCTTTTAAGTGCATTTGTTCTGAAATGCCATGTAGTTTCTAAACTAAATGAAACATTCATTTAAGATGAGATTAAGAGGTTTGTTTTTGCATATCTGTATTCAAGCACATTGCTTCAGGGAATATTCTTGTCCATGAAACGTGTAATTCTAAACTTAATTTAGTGGTCATTTAAATACCTAATTATTTTTAATAAATTTGTGTATAATAGTATCTGTTGTAAGTAGTTTTATTTTCAATACTGTATTTTTTTTAAAAAGAAATACTGTATTATATTGCATCTTTCTTATGTTGTTATTACAGATAAACACAAATCCCCTTCAGATATAATACGAAGTTTTCAGAAGAAAAATCAGTTTAGGACCATTGCTCCAAAACTGGTACCAAAAATTTTAACATCTTCAGTGGTTTCTTGTCTTCAGTCATCTTCGCCTGATCAAAAGCCACCAATTTCAGTTGCAGGTTCTAAACCACTGGTGGTACCAACTCAAAACTATGCTCTTATGCAGGTGCCTGGTCATGAGGGAACTTTCTCCTTGTTGGCCTTGCCATACGTTGCCCCTGGCCTAACACAGCAAGTCCAGCAGTCAAATGTGGGCCCTTCTAAAAACCCAAAGCTGCCTATCCCTAGGTACCAATCTGTAAGAAATAAAATGCTGAGTGACAAAAAAATGGCACAGATGTCTGGTTTGGGTGCACATAACAAGGTTCCTACCAAAGCATCGATCTCATCACAGGCTTCCCTCGTGACTGCTTTAAGTGAAGACTGTCCTGAAACTCATTCTAGTTCAGATTCAACTGAGCAAGCAATGCTAACAGACCGTGACTCAGCTGAAATTACCGTTGACACATTAGTAAATAAAAGCAATTGTGTGGAATCTGGATCTCTTTTAGAGAACAAACCTGAAAGTGCCAATAGTAATGTTTCTGGACCATCTGTAGTTAAAGACTCTCTATCCAAGCTGGCAAGTACAATTAATCCCAAGAAAACAAGTCTACGCTCTGTGAAGAGAGCATCTGAAACCACAAGAGAGTCATTCATAACATCTGAGAAACTAAAGGAAAAACCCACAAATTCCGCAAATTCTGTTGCTGTCCTGTCACCAGCATTTTTTGGCAGTACAATACAGATGACTCCATCAGCACCAAAAGGAAAACTTCCTATTTTGCCTTACTCAAGGGTAAAAAATTCAGTGTTCTGTAAATCTAAGGAGAATACTAATGTTACAGATGCATCTGGTCCTTCACCAAGTTCTGAATGTGAAAAGACACCAGCTTTGGCAAAAACCTTTCATGTTCCTGCTAAAGCATCTGATAAGCGGTTAGCTGTGTCATTTACACAAGTCCCCAAACAAACCATTCGAGAACATACCTTCTCTCCATCCAATAAAGTGGATGTTGACAGTCTTAAAAAAAAGAACAGTGCAGCCTCTAAAAGAAGAGGCAGGAAAAGAAGAGCCCCAGATGATTTGTTGGCTTTTCAGACCAAGCGAAGGAAATGCATCATTAATAAGTTTAAAGAAGGAAGAGAGAGGGCGAAAGTTGATCTTCAGCCACCCGATGGCAAAAAAGCAGAGGCAGTGAAAAAATACCGTAGTATTAGACCAAAACCAGTGTTAGTTGTGCAGACTTTTGCACCTCTGACTTCTGCAGCAACAGTAGAGACACCATCTCCTGACCGCTTAGACCAAGGAACTTTTTTAAATAGATCACTTCCCAAAAAACATATAAGTTATAAGCATAGTGATGCTACATCAGCTAAATCAAGTGATTTAAGTAGAAATGCATGTTCAGACGTACCTAAGCAGTTGCATAAATGTCATGTTTGTAACCACATCTTCCAGTTTAAACACCATCTTCAGGACCATATGAACACCCACACAAACAAACGGCCCTACAGCTGTCGAATTTGCCGCAAAGCGTATATTCATTCTGGAAGCCTGAGTACGCATATGAAACTTCATCACAATGAAGGCAAACCCCAAAAGCTCGTGTGCTGTGAATTCTGTGCTAAAGTTTTTGGCCATGCAAAAGTGTATTTTGGACACCTCAGAGAAGTCCACAGGGTTGTTATCAGCACAGAGCCCTCTACTAGTGAGCAACAGCTGCAAGATGCTTTGAAGAAGAGAGACACAAATATAAAAGAGGCGGAAGAAGCAACAGAGAGGTGAGTATTTTCACTAATTAAATGTGAATGAAAACAGGATTTCAAGTTGCCAGTCGAGATTCATAAATATCACCCTTATGAAAACTGTTGCTTTTTTCCTCCAGTCAGTGAGATTCCTAAAGGTTTAAATATTTTGTTACAAAATCTATTCAATCCATTAGACCATCTGGTATATTTTAGCTGATTTGTTGACTATGAAGTATTACTGACTCATGAATAACCAAAGTAATTTTGCATATATTCTAGTACTATGCAATATACTGCCAGTTGAGCTATTTTGATCAGTTGATTTCTCATAGCTAACACTTTTTCTGTTTATCTTTGCTTTCTTCTGTGTCCTACCAGTTTTGGGGTTTTCCCCAGAAGATGAGAGAACCAAGTGCAACAAGTGAAAAGCAATTCATATTTCAGTATTATCTTGTAGTTTGTTTATCATATTAAATACATTATCCCATTTCCTTCCCTGGAATGCTGTGAACTAACCTGTGCTCTGTGCTTATTACTGCTGCTTTATCAATCACTTAGCCAAGTAGAAAAGTTAACATTTACCATATTAAGATGAATAGAACATTTATCTCTGCCTTATGATTTTGAGGTGAAATTTCTTCACACAATGTAAATGTTGGCTTCTTTGTTTGTTCCATTGTGCATTTACTTTCATGAAGGTATGCCTTATTAAGCTCAGGGCTTCAACCTGATACCTCACTATGACACTACCATTCAGTTTTAGACATTTTGCTTTGCATAGCTCCACTTTGTGGGGCATCAGCAATTTTTCAGATATTGAACCTACAAAATACTAGTGCTTTCCTTACAGCCTTACTAGCATTGTACAATGAATCATTCAGTTTACTTATCTCGTTGGATAATCTGTCGAATATGTAGAAACACACAGTATAATGTGGTCCTTTTCATAGACATTGTGAGTTGGTTTCTGTGGAGACCTTAATTTGATTAGCTTAGCTTAAACCAGGGATTTACTAGCTCTGTGTGTAGCTGCTTCCTTCGTACCGCATAGTTGTCCTAAATCAGTGAGAGGGGCTGTCCAGTTGTAAGTTAGGTATTTAAACTTTTAAAAACAGACTTTTTAAACTAAAGTGTTACAGACTTTTAGGAAGAAAAAAAAAAAAAGCAGCTTTCAAGTTTCATTATTTCCATCTTGAAGTAGGAGGTGGAGCATGTGGTTTTGCCTTAAGCTGACCTTAGATCACTCAGTGTAAACACGTTAGATCTCTTAGCAGTACGCTACAGGTAATACTTATTTTCATTTTTCTAGCTCAGAATTAGAAGTATTTGCATTGACCTCGCTAAATCAGGAACTTTAAAAAGCATTTTTAACCTTTTATTAAAAACTTGGTGTTGCTAAAAGATTATTTATACCAAGGCTAATTTTGGAGACAATTCTTAAACTCAGCGGTGTTGAATAACATTTGGTTTCAGTGTTTTCCTAATCACCCTTATTATTACATTATTTCTCCTTTTTTTCTTCTCAAAATAATTTAATTGCTATAGCACAGTGCCTGGTTTTAATTAAATGAATGTTTCATGAATGTCATCTCTTCTTGGAACTTACAAAGACAGAAATTGCCATCCCTGTTCTGTGCATAGCTAATACTGAAATAGCTCATATTTCCTTTTTTTTTTTTTTTAACAGGGGAAATAAATGCAATTTTGAGGACTTATTCCATAACCCAGGAGAAGTGAAATTACAGGTCAGATGTGGTCGATGCCAGTTTATTGCGCAGTCTTTTGGTGAAATGAAGTTTCACTTACTGTGCTCTCATGGACAAGAGATCCAGGGAAGAGTAAAGGAAGGGGCTTTGCAAGGAAATAGAGGAGTGAAGGGGGAACTGATTAAACATGCAACCCACTTCTGGAAACAGCACAATGAGAGAAGACATTTAGCAAAATGCAGTGCCCATGAGGAGGATGTTTATACTTTTCCAAAACTGAAAAGACAGATCTACTTGCACCATCAAAATAATGTTGATGTATCATCTAAAAGTGAACTGACTCAGTCAGGAAGTGGTGAAGCAGCCAAGGAGATGCAAAATGTAGGTTTTGGTACACCTACCAGAAAAGCAGAAATCTCTTCTAAAGTGAGCTATAACTGCATTTTATGCAAACAGTTATTTGGAAGAAAAGAGGATCTTTGTAATCATTGGCAGAGTCATCATAACTGTGAAGACCCTTCCACTTTATGGGCAATTTTTAGTTTGTTATCAAAACAAGGAATTATTGAACTTTCTAACAGTGGTGGATACTGAAGCTCAATTCTGCAATGCTAAGGAAAACATCAACTGCCTTACCGAACTGTTGACTGTTTCTTGATGTGTTGCTAAACTAATTCAAGAGATGTATCACTTGAGAGGTTTGTTTGGTGGGTTTGTTGGGATTTTAACCTTTATTTTGTTAAATCAAAAATGTATTTATCCAGGATCATTCCCGATGGGTAACTGCAAGCCTTTTGTGAAGCACTGTACTTAAAATTCTTGGTTAAGGAACTTAGCAGCAGCACATACTAGGTACTAATGGTTAACATCAAGGAAAAAATATTTTCCAGTTAAATTATACTATGCACACAGAAATAAATTAGTTTATATAAAGTAATCTCAGTCTTGAATGAAATGACAAATCAGACTGGAAGTGCAATTTCTGTGCTTCCAGATTTTATGGTAAATATGTGAATATTTCCATGCAATTCTCTGGATCATTTGAAGGTGCCTACATGCAGCCAGTATTCAAGAGCTTTATAATCTATAATTTAAAAGCTTTTTATTCATGTGTTTTGATTTTAGTATCGTCAGCCATGTTCATTGCTTTCAGGTTTGTTATTGACAAGTCTTTTAGGTGTTATATTCTGTCCTGGTAATAGCAAAGATCTCTTGGATTTCACTTTAAAGTGAAAAATCTACATGTATTTCTTTGCCTGTAGCTGTTTGGGTTGAAGATAAGTTAGTTGTCACCTCTGAAGAGGAAACCCTCAAAGCTTGACTGCTTTATGAAAAAAATAAAAGTTTTAAAAATAGTCGGCTGAGTTGGTTAGTCCTGGGAAGTTTCACATTCTGCAATAGACTGCATGTTTCATGGTGAACTTTCAGCATATTCCTTATACCTTCTGTGACAGCAGCACTACTGTTGCCAACACTGTTAGCTCTCTGCGTTAGCACTCTTGGCATGTAGCTTTTGTACCTGTGCAGTTGACCCAGTCTGTGCTTTAAAGGGAAATTGTTCTTTCACTTCTGAGTCTATAGTGCAGGTAATGAGTTGGTTTTCACTTGTGTTGCCAGATTTGCAACCAGAGGAACTGCATGCAGCACCTTAACCTTCCAGTATCAGGAGCCGATAGCAGTTACCTTACCAGGATGCAAAGCTGTAGCAGCCCACAGTGCAGGAATAGTGCATTCTGTGTCCCCCTGCTACTGAGCAGGCATGGTAAATGACCATTTCAACACATCTCCGGGAGGCAAGGCAGTTCAGGCTGTGAGGAAATGGAGTTCTAGAGCTTTGATGAGACAATTAGTGAAGCCTTGAGTCTAGTTTTAAACTGGTATTTAAACTGCTGTTATTTAAAGCCTTATGTACCTCTGAATTATTTTGGGCGCAACGGTGGAAACAGCATAAGAAATCACTATGCCACTGTTCAACATAAGTCAGAGGACATCAGAGGGCAAAATGAAAAATACAGCAATACTGTCAAGACAGTACTACTGTAGTCATTTTTCCTCGTGGTCAAACTGTAATTGAGGGATTGCAATGATAAAAGAGCCATCCCTAAAATGTCCTGGTTCACCTCTCACTGTTTTGCGCAAATCGTGGCGATGAGAACATGAGAAGAGATCTTAGAATGTTGGGATTTCTGAGTGCGGTTCCATAAGCTGTTGCAATAGTTTGTGTATGTGTTTTGTTTCTAAACAGTAAAGGCAATTTTGATGAGCTAATAGTGTTGAATGTAATTTCTTCTTGTATGGTGTTTTGCCCTGGATATGAACTTTAAGACTGGAACCAAGGAAAATGAAAGCAAAAAAGGAAAATGCTTATAGAACTGCACAGGTGCTTAGTAAGGTGGAAGAATCCCTGTGGAAATTCAGAACGCACTTCCTACTATCTGTTGCCATAAATATTTATTTGTGGTTGTTTCTTTGCTTTCATATCCTACTTTTGTATGCTGAACTACTTTAAAATTACTACTTGTTCTTATTCTTGACACACCCATCTTTTAATGCCTATAGTATATTCGTATTTCTTTCACTGCGGAGATGGAGGAGAGCACATGGCATATTTGGAAAGGAATAGCTAATTTTAAAGTCAGTGTTTCATATCAAACTGAGACTATATTTAACTTAGTAAAGTGTGTTTGCACGTAGAAGTGGTTTTTCCCTCCGAGTTAATCCTTTAACTTTCAAAATCAAACAGCTTGGTGTTTTTCCCTGAAACAGGAATGTGAGAACAGTCCCTTCCTCACGTAGTTATAATACATCAAAGGGAAGTTTATTCCTTGCATAAAGCATTCATTTTAAGAGTTTGGCAAAAAACATTAAAAATGTTTGTTGATGTTATGGTCATTATTTATAACCAACACCACATCACCTCTCTTGCAAAATCCCCCATCCCTTGGTATAGTTTAAAATGAGCTGCAATGAATGCAGCTCCAAGGCAGAGTCCCTCCTGTTCAGGAGCAGCACCAATGATGGCAGAGTTGTTCTTCAAAATTACTTTGTAGAAGCATTTGTTAAAGGTGGTGGTGCATCAGAGCCAGTGGTGTAGGTGAGTTGTTTGGTGGTGGTTCTCAGGCAAGAAGAGGCGGTCCCACTTTGTGCAAAAGGAGGGGAAGGTGAGGTGATGAGGGGAGGAAGGAGGTTTGGCACAAGGGAGTGGGTTGCATTTTTTTCTTTAATGGAAATTTTCACGTACAGTCTTTTCATCATATTTCTGTACTTCTCTCCCTTTTTGTAGTCCAGGCCAAATGGGTAACGGGATCTCAGCTTTCAGCAGTTTAAAGCCTGAAAATATGTTTTAAAGCACGGTTCTAAGCCACTTCTCAGTGTCCTCGTAAATGTTTAAAATTAGAAGCCTTTTTTCTGAGCCTGAAAGCATTCTTATGTTTCAGGCTATTATGATTATGGTGGATTATGAAAGGTTGGGATTTTTGAAAATAGCTTTGCATTAAATGCAGATGTGTTCTTTGTTTAAAATGTATTTGTTTTGCATTTGTGTTCATTTTGATAACATTCGGAGGTATGAAGTGAACCTTATTTACAGCAGCATTAAATACTGCGTGTTTGCTGTTCAGCGGAAGGGTTGTTATGAATACAGCTTGCTGTTTACCTTGAAGCTGGACAAGTTAACATCTGGTTTTGCACATAAATTTTATTTTTAAATTGTTGAAATGAATGTTATTGTTTTTCTAGCTGTAGTTTTGTACACCTCTGATTTTTCATTAAATCTGTGTTCCAGCTTCACTGTTCAACTTTAAGGCTGTTCCTCACATGGAAAGTTGTTCCTTCATCATCACACCATAAATAATCAAAGCTGGAGGAATTCCATTGCTTCTCTGGCTTGCAGAGTATTGCCCTTCTCCAGCTGCAGAGCTACAGTTTCCTATGGCTAACTTGACATAGTTTCTGGCAGTAAATGTTTTACTTCATTTATTTATTAGAATTTAGACCTCTGGTGTTCAGCTCCATCAGAGATTCTGTCATACCTCGTTAGATACTTCTTTTATCTACTATTTGCTGAGCTCTTTAGAGATGGTGTCATAAGAAGGATGAACAGGTATTTAAGGGAGCAGATTTCAACCCTAACTTTGTGCAGATGAAGCTGACGTTTGAGAATCAGCAGCTTATCTAGGCTCAGCCATGTAGTTTATTATATTTCTACAACACATCCACCTACATGCGCATCTGTTTTGGAATGAAATATATACTTCAAATTCAGCTGTCAGTTATTATCAAACCTGTACAATGTGACTTTGTGATTATTATGCATAAAGATTAAAATGCTATTAGCTGTAGTAGGTTTACTTGTCAAATTCCTTATAGCTCTGAAAAATGAAAATCTCTGCGTGCTAAGTATGACACAGAAGAAATCTGGTCTCATGAAGAAAATTCTGATAGCTTAACTGTTGTCCTCATTTCAGCGTGTTCTTTCATAGCTGATCTGTCACATTGTAGGATTTTCTTCATGTTTTATTAAATTGCCATAATATTTCTTGGTTAGGAATACTGAAGAAGACCTGAGCCTGCAAGCAATTTGAGGAAAAAATGTGTTTACTGCCTTTCTCTGTACAGACAGACATGTCCATGAAATCAAAATAGTCTTGGTGGCCATACAAATACATGCACAATGTGAGGCAACGTGCAGGATTTGGACTTCAGTGTATGACTTTATGAGGCTGATGGTTCTGGAGTTCCAAAGTAGAAACTGCAAATTTAAATGTAAAAGTAATTTGCTTTTCAGACTTCAGTGAATCTCTTAATACCTTACTGGCAGACCTTCAAGAAATCCTAAGATGACAATAGCATGCTTCTCTACTTGTGCTTTTTGTGACTGTTTTTTTTTGATGTAGTAGTACCAGTAGCATTCTAAAATATGATAGGTCTGGTGCTGTCGAGTACAAAGGAAGCTTTTTCTTTTCTTTTTTTTGCTTTTTATTGACTTTTCCATGTAAGCGTTAGCAGTGATGGGGTGAATTATGATTTCTGCTGCTGACAAATCCAGAAACATTATTATGAAGATATTTTGCAGAAATTTCCATTTTTAGTCTAGTATAGCAGATGAAATCAGTGAAAAGGAAATTCTACTGGAAAGAGATACATAAGCAAACTGTCCCGTGTGTGGATTTCTGTGCGCAATTACGCTGCTGTAGGTGAAATTTATAAATCATAGGTCTTCTACTAGTTTGTTCTTATTCACAGTTACTTAGAGTGACCAAGGGAAGTAAGAGTTAAAAACTGATCATGCCTTCGTTTTTACTTGAATTTTGTTAAATATTTCTACTGTTGTGCCAGTCTAGATCATGGTCCAAGGTATGTAGATACTCAGACACTTTCTAGAGGACTTACAACGTAATTCAGGGAAGGAAAGAGAAAGAAATAAGTGAAGGAAGTAGTGATGATGAAGGTTGGCACAATGCATCGAGTATAAGGTCAGTATGACTAGCTTTTGATGTGTATGTGGAAGTGTCCTGTAGCCTTAATCTGAACTTTTCCCACTCCCTGTGGTTACAGGGTTCCAGTCTGCTCCCACCTGAGGCATGTTAATCTGAAGCTCCTTCAGCTTCCTTGTGCATGAGCTTTTCCAGATGGCATAGCTGACGCTGTGAGTGTCCTCCTCTTCGGTGTCTCAGTTACACCCTTGTAGTTAGGTGAGCTACATGGTGTCTGCTGAAAGAACCTGCTGTCAGACTTGAAAAGTATGTGGTTTTCAGTTTTCTGAGGAAAGCATCTTTTAGCTTTAGTCCATAAAAGTGAAATCAAATGCTGCCTCTGTACTTAGAAAAGTAAGAAAATGGCCACCCTACCTTTTCAGCACCCTCTGTGAACTGTTGTGGCTGAATGCAATTTGTAAATGTGATTCAACGGTTAGCATCATGTCTGGCGTCTTCACTACAAGCTAAAAGCCTGGGATCAAGTAATTGTGAATGCCCTTTTGCAGAATGTTTCACTAAATTGTTGGGGACCCCTGGTGTCAGCTGGGCCAGCCTCCTGCCCGAAGCAGGACTTAAGGACTGAGCACCCAGCCTGGAGCAGAGCACTGTTTGGCTTTGTGGAAACTACTTCTATTGCTGTTCCCACTGGTCTGTCGCCAGTGGTGGAGTCACGAGTGTAAACAAGGCTTCAGTGTGGTAGCTGATACTCAAGCACCATCATAAGCAATTTTATGATACTTGTAAAGAAAGCACAAAACCTGGGACAGAAAAGTCCCCCTTAACCCAAATCAAGTTATGGCTTCAAGCAGTGATTCTTCAGTAGTGAGAACTTCTTTTGGCTTAAAGCCCTGTTGTTTCTGTTGTTGTAGACCGCGACTAAGCCTCTTGTCTTCTTACAGGAAGCAACTTATGCTCCTTTGACTACTCTGCTTTTTCCGGGACTTCAGGCTCTGTGCCTTTCACATGCAGTGAATATATTTTTTTCTACAGTTGATTTAGGACAAAAATAAAGCATTTTATTTCCTGCATGCTAACTAATTTTGCACAGCTTCAAGTTTAATGTGACTTCTGAACATACACCCAATCAATAAACCTTCCTATTGCTGGAAACAATAAATGACACGGTGAGGGAGGAAAGCAATAAATACCCCTGTGACCGTAGCTTTGAAGCAGTGCAGTCGCTTTCCACTGGAAGTTTAATTTCTTCATGGTTTTAGTTAAAAGCTTTTATTAATTTTAACTGGCATAAATACACTGCTGTACTTTGCTGTTCAAATAAATCCTTTCTCAGCTCTGAGTCCTTGGAGTTTAAATCCTGTGCAGCCATTTTCTACTATCTGCCAATTCCTTGCTAAGTGCAAACCTGACACTCTTGCCAATAAATCCACCTTTGTGCCATTTAAAGTCATCTGCCGTCTCTTCTCTGGAGCTAATCAAAGTTTACAAGACGACATTTTTTAAAGGGAACTGGCTCTACAGTTCAGGCCATTTAAGTTGTGCAAGTTAATTAAAGGAAATTGCAGCGAGCTATAAAAGAGAGAAGTGGTGCAGACTGTTTGAAAGCTCACTTACTTTTATTCTCTCTTATGAACAATTGGAGAGGAGCTTTTCCAGGGAAGGATTTGGAGTGTTGTGCTGGTTTGTGTGCTGCGTTCCTAATCCACTTTTCAGGCTCTCCCGAGTACAACACAGCAGAGCCCAGCCGTGCTTCCTAAGTCGATTGCAGCCTGTTAAAGCACTGTTTTATTTTTACCTTGTGAGACAGCTGGGCTGATAAATGGATGGGA